CGGAAAAGAGCCATTATTATTATTATTATTATTATTATTATTATTATTATTCTAAATTGCACTCACATTTTAGGGTAAAAGCCCTAATTACAATCACTTACACATATACTTGAGATTAGAAAAGCTTAGATACCTTAAAAAAAGAAAGATGAGATATACTGAAGTTCAAATTTATAAGAAAATTTAAGATTTAGTATAAAGTTTTTAAGATTATAATAAGGTAAGATTTATATATATGTCAATGAATTTTATATTTATCCCTTTAATTTACACATATAGAATTTTTAAAGTTACATATATGTCGATAAGTTTAATCTTTATTAGTGATATGATCATTATTTTTTTATCAATCTACATAAAAAAATTCAATTAATATTTATTGGATATGATGATGAAGAAGAGCTTATTGGACATATGACACAAGTAGAATATTTAAACGATATATTCTCACAATAAATTAATTATTATAAAAATGATATTATATAATGTGGTCTTCTTACATATATTCTTATTTAAAACTAATGAGTATTTATGATCGTTTTATATTTATTGATGCATACTAATTTGATCGTCAAAAGGTTTCATAATATAATTTCTTGACGTAATCCTTACTTTTTATGGGACAAGAAATAATCCTTACTCTCACATGAATAATTTTAAAAAATTAATAAATATTTATAAAAAGTTTGACCAAGTGGACTCTAGAAACCAACCCCATCTAGTCATTAGATTCAAGAGGTATATATTTTCTTTTATTTTTGTTTATTAAATCTAAATATCTTTGATAAATGACCCTATAGTTCACCTACAATGCTCTCATTTGTGAAACTTTTCGACTATTTTATAAGAAAATACTTAAGAATGATACTCTCACCTTTCTCTTACCACAATTATATGTTTCAGATAATTAATAAAAAAATTCAACTTTTGTAATTAATAAAAGAATTCAAGCTCTATGACATATTGACCATTGATAACGCAAGGATAAGTCACTAATTGACTATGTCATAAGATTTAATAATGAAACTTGAAACTTAATAAGTAATCAACTCATATTCATCCGTGATGATCTACATTACAATAGCTTGATTTAAATCCTCATCAAAAGTGACTAAAAACTCGAATTGATTTATAAGGGAATGAAGCGAACAATCTTCTTGACTTGAGTCTTGATCATCTTATGAAGTCAAATCATCTAAATAGGGGCAAATGTGTGTGCCCAATCTCACTCTAAACTTTTCTTAAGTTAACTATAATTTTACATTAATGATATTATACTTTGATGTATGGTCAAAGTCTAACAGGACTAAAACGAACAAGCTTCTTGACTTGAGTCTAGATCATCTCACGAAGTTAAATCATCTAAATAGGGGTTAATGTATGTGCCCAAGGCTAGATCTCACTTTAAACTTAACTCAATCACAATTTCACATTAAGACATTATATTTTGGAGTCTGATCAAAGTTTGATTTTTATTTTACGAGGAGATATAACAAACCATAAGACAAAAAAAAATATATATTTTTTGGACCCAATTGAGTGTTAGGCTTAATTTGCTCCTAAATATAAAATAATTTCAACTATGAAAGCAAGATGACTTCTTAGTCTTCTAGCCTCTAGAGATCAAGTGAAAGTATATGGTGCTATATTAGGATTCTCAAGCCTGGCTCTCTTAGATTGAATACTGGTTGCAACAATCAATGTCTCAAAATAAATATACTAACCTAAGATAGATAAGCTCTTACCTTAAAGCAACACAATGAAAGAATAAATGATATGATCATTTTTTTTTCTCAATCGAAACTACACGTAGAATCCCATTAATGTCTATTGGACTATTAATTATATCAATTATTCGAGACAAGAAAGACTTACCGGATATGTCATATTAGTAAAGCATCTAAAGAATATGTTCACTCGTTAAAACGATAATTATAAGAATGACAATATATAATGTGACTTTCAAATGATGTTATATCAAGCAACATTGTCATGTGTGTTTTTATTCAAAATTGATTCAATAAATATTTATAAGATTTAAAAACTCATAAATACCTAATAACTTTTTTTTTAACTTAACTTAGTTATTATCAATCATGGTTAGCGATAATTAACATAATTTTTTTACACAAAAGGAAATACGTAAGTTGTATTAAATTTTATAAACATAAATGTGGGTTTAACACCTTTTAGAGAAATAGAAAAAAAAATAAAAAACCAAAATATTTAATCATCACCTCAGATTTCAGCTAAGCAATAGACAGACTTGATTGTGAATCCAACTCGGCCCAGGTTTGGGTCGGACCAATCCGGTTCGATTAGCTAATCCGGTTCGATTAGCGCCAGATCTGTGCAGATCATATGTTGGTTACGTCTACTTCGCCTCCATTCTCCTTTCTTGCGACAGAGGAAAAGAGGGGAAGACGACCCTAAGAAGCGGAAGCGGAAGCGAAGGCGAAGGAAGAGAGAGAGAGAGAGAGAGAGAGAGAGAGAGAGAGAGAGAGAGAGAGAGCAATTGAGAGAGAAGGATGGATGTGGTGAAAGCGCAGCAGATGGCCGGGCGGGCGGTGGAGAAGGTGATAGTGCACCCGCTGGTGCTGCTGAGCATCGTGGACAACTACAACCGCGTCGCCCGCGACACCCGCAAGCGCGTCATCGGCGTCCTCCTCGGATCCTCCGCCAAGGGCACCGTCGACGTCACCAACTCCTACGCAGGTTAGCCCTAATCATCATATTTTTATCCTGATCTAGGTTATATGTATGCGTAGCTTTATGTTCCTTAATCGCCCCTAGAAGAAGGTTATGGAATGCCAATTGGTCGCAAAAGGGAAGTATGGAAGATGCGCGTGGGGCCTTTCTGGAAATCAAGATCTTGTTACCCTTTTCTTATTCTTCACGATTTTTCAAGAATCACTGTGAATGGGAGGGTTTTGTGCATGTTGCAAGTTCCATTTTCTTTTAATTGCGGAAGAGAAGTATGAAGGATGGGCTTAAAGTCTAGTGGAAATCAAAATGGGGTTTTTCTTGTTATCTTCTGCTCATGTTTGAAGGGCCGTTAAGTGAGTTTAGGGCTGCTTTACAACTTTAATAAAATGTTCAAATTTATGACGCTGATTAAGATTCAACGGGTACTTCAAGCCTGATATCCTTAATTTTAAACCCCTCTTATTTACGGGGGTTTGAAATACCAGGATTGTTTTTGGAAAAATTAGGTAGATATCCAAATTCCAAGTTTGGGAATTCTTCCAAACTCCAAGTAATAATTAAATTTTGTGTTTGGTTGAGGGGTTACAAGCTTGGGCTATATGCGTGGAGATTTATATGATCTAGGATCAGGAAATTTTTTGGGTACACTTGGAATATGGATCTTAGTTTTTGAGTTGCAGAATTTGGAAGTTGGGATTATAGAAAGTGGAATTTCGAGGGTGTCTATTTGCAATCCGTACAAAATTTATGTATCAAATGAGCTGTGAAATGTGAATGATGATGGGATTTGGGGGATAAAGTTTGGATAATTATATTTCTATAGTAGGTCTTGAGGGTGGAAGCTTTGATTGGAAATTCAAGGGCGCTGGCTACAATCCAATCCCAGGGTTTTTAGTGGGAAACTCATGGATGTCCATGTCAAATTGGACACATCATTCAAGCTGCATATTTTTAAGTTGCTATTACGTGGTCATGTTTCTTCTTTGTGCTTCTTGTAGCTAATTGGGCTTCTTGGCCAATTTTTTCATCTTTACGCTTTTGTACTTGACATAACATGTTGTTTCTCAATCAGATTGTTCATTGTTCTGTTTTCAGTAGAAGTGTTCTTGAGTATTATTTATGCTACATATAAAATGAATGCTGGTCTACCAGTCACACTTGTTGTGATAGTTTTTCTACATATTGTGCTCACACCTTAATGCTGTTTGCAGTTCCTTTTGAAGAAGATGAAAAGGACCCAAGCATTTGGTTTTTGGATCATAATTACCATGAATCAATGTTCTCCATGTTTAAAAGAATAAATGGTACTGCTCGGTTCAAACTTAAACCTCTATGTGTCTGTAAGGAGTTCAAATATTTTTATTCCATGTTTGAACCAAACATGTCATTTTGCAGCCAAGGAGCATGTTGTGGGTTGGTACAGCACAGGTCCAAAGCTACGGGAAAATGATTTGGACATTCATGCTTTGTTTAATGAGTAAGATTGTTAGATGATTTTTTTAACTTTTGAACGATGAGATTTTCTGGCATTTTATAGAAATATTGTTGGTAATTCTCTGTGTATCTTACTAAATGGAGTTTCTATTGTTTAATCGTAACTCTTACTTTTATATAATAGACTAATAGTAGCTAGTTGCAACATCCCATATGCTATGGCAACATGAATTTGATATATTTTGTTCAATATTTTTTGGTTTATCCTGTCGAACAGGGTCCGTATGACATACAAGGCATTGTTATCAATTCTTTACATATTTGTGACTTTTGAGATAACCATCAGTGGGTATCACTTTTGTGGTTTCAGCAAGAGGAAGCCGTGATCCAACTATTTGGGTTTGGCTGCATGACCCTTCTTCCCATTATCAGCAATATGGTTTTTCGTTGTTTTTGGAATACAATCATAGGTCTGTCAAAGTGATTGGGTTTGCCGTTTCTAGATTTTACTTTCACCTTCTTTTGGGTCTTTCACTCCTTTATCTGTTGTGGTTTAATAATATACTGAACTTTGTTGCAAAAGTTAAATTTTCTTTTTCTAGTGGTTGAGAAATTATGGTTACTTGGCCAACCATAATATGCTGCTATATAGTTTTGAGTACCTTGTGTTTCTTACTGCAGTTATGTTCCTAATCCTGTGTTGGTGATTATTGACGTCCAACCTAAGGAGCTTGGTATACCTACCAAAGCCTACTATGCTGTTGAAGAGGTCAAAGAGGTAAGGGAGACTGATCTAGTGAGTTTTCTAGTATGTATTTGTCCTTTTTATGCAGTGTATTGGTTACACAAGCTCTAGTTTGTTAATGTGCATTTGATTGCAGAATGCTACACAGAAAAGTCAGAAGGTGTTTGTGCATGTACCTTCAGAAATTGCTGCTCATGAAGTTGAGGAAATTGGTATGCAAGTACTAAGCTATTCTATTGAAAACTGCCTGATCCTTTTAGATACTTTTATTCTTTGACTAGTTGTTGAATAGCCTTTGAGTTGGCTGCTTCTTTTTCATGGTAAAGATGACCTAGCAATGTTTTCACCTTAAATACAATTACTACCGGAAACACCAATTCACTTAAGTGCTTTTATGTATGTAGGAGTGGAACACTTGCTGAGGGATGTCAAGGATACAACAATCAGCACTCTTGCAACAGAGGTTTTTGGCTTCTCTGTTCTGATTATCTTTTAGATGATTGTACATTAGATGCAAGACTTGAAAGATTTGATATGAGTTGTCATATACATGATTTCCAGATGATGGTTACAACTAGCTAGTTATGTTGTTTCATGTGCAGGTTACTGGCAAACTTGCAGCTTTGAAAGGGCTAGATGCAAGGTTACGTGAGATACGTGGTTATCTAGACCTTGTAATTGATGGGAAGTTACCAATGAATCATGAGATTTTGTACCATTTGCAGGTACATATTTTTGCTATGATCTCTATTTTTTCTTTATGTTAATTTTTGTATGTTGCATATATGTATATACAAATCTGTCTTTTTTGTGGCAGCATCAAATCAAGGACATATCCAGGATATTCTTCACCTTTGTTTAGTTAAATGTTTGTTTATTTCCACTATTATTTATTCTGTGTGAAATAATGGAGTTGATCCTGCACCATTAGCAGCTGTTGTAACCAGATCTTTTTATCGGTTTAGGAGTTCCTTGGACTTTCTTGCATGGTAGGTCTTTTGTTGGTGGTTGGTGAAACAAAAGGTACTGATAGCGACTTTCACTTAAAAATGATCCCCATGAGGTTATAGATAAATTAAAGTGAAAGAATTAACCCTATTAGTAGATGATTGAATTCAGCATAGTTTGGGTTTTTTTTTTATTCCGACAAGATGCATATATTTGTTGCAAAGCTTCTAGTCTAGGCTTTCTGTAGCCAAGCCCGTGGGATGTTCTTAATGATAAACTTTGCTTTGGTAGTTTAGATTTGCTGGTCCAAATTAATCAGTCTAATCATTTGCTAATTTATTTTGGTCAAATTTAAGGACTGCAACTTCATATTAGAATATCTACATTTTATCAAGTATGTTAAATGCTGTCTAAAATGTTGGGTCTTGTCAAGCATATTCTCTCTTGCATATATACATTCTGACTCTTGTTAGTAATTAGCTCCAACATCACCTGGGCATGTTGCTGTAGATTTTGGTAGGACTTTTTGTTGTATTGCTTTAGCTAAATTTGTCATGAGCAATATAAGACTTTCTACTTCATAGGACTTTTGAGTGTCTCTATTTCTATTGGAGTATTTTGTCAGACTGATAGTCTACAAGGCTACAACTGTTGATTACATAACTATGAAAGCTACAAGCAGTGTGTATTTCATCATGATAACATAATTTATTATTTTCTATTTTGATTCTTGTGCATTTTTCCATTTTTGTTCCGATTTTATGTCAACAGATCGAAGCGTATCCTCGGTAGAAAAGTTTGGCATAGATTTATGAATTTTCTTGGATAACGATGTAGTGAATCTTAAATGAATTTATTTTGCAGGACATATTTAATCTACTTCCGAACCTTAACGTGAATGAATTGATCAAGGCTTTTGCAGGTAATGCTATTACTTGTTGCTTGCTGCCCCCCAGGTTTGAAACAAATCGTATGCAATTCCACTGATTCTTTTTTGTCCCCTGCAGTGAAAACAAATGACATGATGCTAGTTATATATCTTTCTTCCCTCATCCGGAGTGTTATTGCACTTCACAACTTGATAAATAACAAAGTGAGTCAACTTTTGCTTTTTTATGTGTATTCAATATATTATACTGATTATGAGCTTCTGGCTTGGATTTTGTATTATGCATTATATATACTAGAATATCAGAGTTTTTATTCTGGGATGATGTGATGGACGTCTTGATTGTTTAGGGTTTATGATTCTTTATTTGTACATAATCCACGGTTTGACAGATCGGTCTATTTGACCAATTTCTAACTTTGTCTCTTGCTGCAAATACATGTTTGTTAAGATGGATCGATGAGCTTCCTTGTATCTAATACATTTTACATTTTAGTTTTTGTACATGAAAAACATCCCATTTAACACATTTTGATGATGCTAGATGCTCAACAAGGAACATGAAAAAGCTGAAGATTCCAACCCCACGGCGATACCCAATGCAGCAGGAAGCTAAGGATCATATGTTCAAGGATATCGCTTTGGAAATAGAGCTAATGATCTTTATTTCACATGGTCCTATCGTGCAGAATTTCACGGCACATACGTTTGGATGTATTTCCGTACTGAACTACAAAGAACTGATTGAAGATGCATATCAAAGTTTTCTCTTGTAATTTTTAATATTCCTAGTTGGCTACGCTGAAACAGGCTCAGTTTGGATTTAGAGGCCTCTAAGAACTTTCAATTTGTATCATTAGTTCATTACTTCAGCAACCCTTCCTTACCTGCTTAGGACTGGGAAGAGAGTACTCACAAGTTGGCTGTATCAATGAATTTGGATTTAGTTTGCACCTTTCCCCTGAGATTGAATCATGCTAACAGATCTGACGATTGCCAGTGTCAAAAGTTGCACACTGCTCTGAGGTTATATTATTTATCAAACTGTTTTCAAGTACTCGCAAAAAAGAATTCAGAGCTAAAAAAGGCAGTTGGTAAATCTGTACTACTCCCGATCTCAATTGGGTTTCAACACCAAGTCTTGAATGGGATCAACTTGGTCCTGTTTATGCCTTGTGCAATTTATCTAATATTTCATAGAATATGTAGGTCGACAGAAGAGTGACACCAACAAATACCCGCACAATTTATGACTTGCAAGTCTGGATCGTTTGCCCGAACAAAATGGAAGATTCTCCGAAAGACAACGTTACTTTACCTTGGATATTATATATATATATATATATATATATATATATATATATATATATATATAAATATAATAATAATAATAATAATAATAATAATAATAATAATAATAATAATAATAATAATAATAATAATAATAATAAATGGAATACTGCCTAACCCTCATATGCATAAAATAATTTTTAATAATAAAATACAAAAAATGGATAACGCACGAGATTGAGTTCCATGGTCACACAGTGTGATCCTCGTCAGCACCTACTCGTCACCTATCATCGCCGCAGTGTCGTGAACGACGAGATGGTCGGTGAGCCCGCGGAAATACGTACCGCAGATTCGCCTCAATCACCGCATCGTGGAGTTTGGACCGTCAGATTGTACCTCGAGGAATCGAGTCCGTTCAGAAGCCGCTTGATCATCGGCGTCCGAGGCAGCTTCGGACTACGATAGTCCCTTGTGGGTCCCGTGTGTAGCCTCCGCCTCGTCCATTCATCACTCGGGTCGGTGGGCGGCTTTCGCGGAAGCAGGTAAGGTAACCCAAGTGTTTTCTTTTTCGAAGACGTACATATTTATATGTGATTTCAATATATTTATCTTCTAAATTTTAGTTGATGTATCAGGATTTAATTGGCATAATAATATGAAAGATGCAGTTTAATGCGCACGCATCAGTGACTTCTTTGTTGACGCCAAAAACGAAGTCCCTTCTACTCTTCGAACATTAAAAAAATATTTATATTTTTTTAGATTAAAGTGCGTGATGAATACTTTTTTAAAAGCCAAGAATATTGTCAACTCGCTGTAGTCATGAAACAGGAAACATCAAATTTAGCCTCTAGTTATTCGTCAGCTCCTCATAGGTTAACGCTAGCAACCATTCGAAGGGCGTTATACGATGTTGTGTGTTCTGGCAGCGGTTATTCTGATGCATAGTTGCCCGCCCACTTAATCATGTCGACCAATGGACGTCTATTGGTGGTGTTCTTAAGAGACGATTTCGCCACCTCGTTTACTTCTCCTTTCGAATTCGATTGACCCCTCTCTCTCTCTCTCTCTCTCTCTCTCGCGTTTGAATCAGAGTCCTCAGACCCTAGCACCAAAGATCGAGTGTTTTCTCGATCCCTCGTCGAAGCCCCAAGCTAGTTCGATCTCGCAGCGGGATCCGACAGGATGTGGCCGAAGTACGCCAAGGGCGTGGACTTGGAGTCCGGCGGACCGAGTGCGCTGTATCCGGGCATGATCGAGAGCCCGGATCTCCGGTGGGCGTTCATCAGGAAGATCTACATGATCCTCACCGTCCAGTTGGCGCTGACGGCGGCCGTGGCCGCCGTCGTCGTCTCTGTCAAATCCATCTCCCACTTCTTCGTCTCCTCCAGTGCCGGATTGGGCCTCTACATCTTTCTCATCATCCTGCCATTCATCCGTATCTCTATCTCCCCTTTCCTTCGTTTCTATTCGTTGCTTGGTTAGGTTTTGATTCTTTTCCGTTGTGTTTTCTTGTTCTTGGAATTTATGGTTCTATTTTTGGTTGGAAACTCTGCAGTTCTGTGTCCTTTGTACATCTACCGAGAGCGGCATCCTGTGAATCTTCTTCTCCTTGGATTGTTTACGTTGTCGATAAGCTTCGCCGTCGGGATGAGTTGCGCATTCACGAGTGGTAATATTCGAACTCTTAGTCTTCCTCTACTGGTGCAAGAAATCGCTAAACCTAGTTTAAATTATCAAAAGGCCCTTTTTGAAATCATTTTTACTTGATATTGGAGTAAAAGTTTTAGTTTGCTTTTACATTAGTGTTGAAAACTTTTTGAACTAAGTTACTCTATTGATGATCCTGATTAATAAAATTTTGGGGATTTGGAGTAATTATATTTTGATTCGTACTTGTAATTTTAATTCTTATGTTCTAAGTTGAAAATAGCTTTTCATGTCATTTTAGGTTTTCTGGTTGTCGATACCCTTCTATTTTACAAGGGTATTTCTTGGGCAATATCGGTTTGGGTTTGTTATTAGATGGTTGAAAGATAATGTCATCAACCTTGAGATTATATTGGAAGTTTTAAGTTCTGAGGTTCCTGTTGTCCTATACCCTTGAGATAAGGATAAAAAATGCCGAATAGATTTGGAAGAATTGTTCTTTCTTATGTGGTAAGAATTATCTTGACTTTTCACTGTAGTGATATCTATATCAGCATTGGTTGGCGGAGAAATTAAGGAGAATTATCTTGCAAGTTGTACTCTTGTGGAACATTTTTCTAGAATCCAAAGCACAGTTTAGGTATGAAATATTCCAATAGTGTCAACTATGATTTTCCAGTGGTGAGTTATTCTTGCTTTAAGAACAGTTCAAAGATGTTGTTCTCCGATAATGCTTTGTTTATAAGCCAAGCTTTGGAGGGACATACATACAACTTTTAAGTAGGAAGTGGCCACACTGGACTTAGTTGGAAAGAGACCCATTCTTTATAAATGATTCCGTTGTACTTATGCTTTCTTCTCTCATAAGAATTTGAAGTCTTATTATTCATATATATATATTTGTGGCAAGGTTTGAAGTCTAGATCTGCTCTCTGTTTCAACAATTGGTTTGACCAATACAATATTGGTTTACCAAGTAGTATTCTAACCTACAATGCCCAGCTTTAAACCCCCCAAAAAAAGTTTAATAATTAAATGTCTGGCAGTATTGATCTATATGATTTGGTACTTGTGCTTACTATTTAATATTCGTTCATACATATTAATCTGACCAGTATTTAAAGCCTTGGTTTGTGAAACCTTGTTTTTGATGGCATTTCCTAGAAGCATCGATGGCCTATCAAGACACGCCACATCAATGTGCTTTGAGTTAAAAGCAATTGCTAATTTACAAAGAACATTAACAAGGATTTAATGATGTGTAAGCAAACATGAAAGGATGAGATTTAAGTCAGGAAGCCTCTGTCAAAAGATGGTAGTGATTGTGATCCATCATGACATATGAGACACGCTTTAAAAAGAAAAGGTCATAAAACGAATGTACACCCTGACACCACCTTTGAAAATGGTCTGCATTTATATGATCATGGGGGAAGTAATGATATTTATAACCAACAGATTCTTCCTGTTTGGTTATTGTTTGGTCATTTTTATTTTTGTAGCTGCCCTATCTCTTTTTCTGTCACCTGTCCAATTTCACTATTGATATTTCTAATTATCTAGTCTAGTCTTTCGCTCCTTATATGACACTTGAAACCTCATCAAGAACATGAAAGGATGACTTGATTTAGATACTGAGATTCCTCAACTGCAAACAGGAAAAGTCATTTTGGAAGCCGCTATCCTCACTACGGTGGTGGTGGTCAGTCTCACTCTGTACACGTTCTGGGCTGCTCGGAGGGGCCATGACTTCAACTTCCTTGGCCCCTTCCTTTTTGCTGCTGTCTTGGTATTGCTGGTTTTTGGTCTCATACAGGTAATGGTTGCCATTCTATTCAGTTGCTTTTGCATTTCGTTAGAGTTCTCATTCTTCCACAACTCATCTGTGCACCTCTTCATCTTGCAGATTCTATTTCCGCTTGGAAAAATTTCGGTCATGATATACGGTGGGCTAGGAGCAATAATCTTCTCTGGCTACATCATATACGACACTGACAACCTCATCAAGCGCTTTACCTACGATCAGTATGTCTGGGCAGCTGTTTCTCTTTACCTCGACGTCATCAATCTGTTCCTTTCATTGCTTACTTTGCTCAGGGCTGCTGATAGTTGAGAAACCACATGCTCCACCATTCAACAAAGTAAAATGTATCTGTTTGGCACATATCAATGAGCTTAGCATACATATTATGTAAGGCACATGATGCACCATACTGTATGTTAATCGGCAACATGTGTTATCTACTGCTTTTTCTTTGTTAGATCCAGCAGAACTAAGATAATGTGTCGTTAGTAAAAGTTCTTTATACTTGTTGATGTGAGGTTTCTAAGAACATTTATTGGCACCTCAAAGTGATTGCTTCCGGAATCTGATTCCAGATTGTTTATGCTTATATGATCTGATTGAGAAGGCTGCTTGTGATTCTAAACCAAATTTCCAGAACATCCAGGATTCTATGCTATTTTTTCCCTGAATGGTCTCTTGTCAGATTAACTTTATATCGTTAGATGAAAATATAAAATGAAGAGATTGTGTACATTAATCCATTTTCCCAAATACAATAAGAAAAAGTGTATCATTTTGTATTCTAATGCAATGGAGATCAAAATTTAGGGCAAAACTTTGGATTATGGCCACTGCATGATTTCGTAAGTTGGTACTAATCCTACAGTCTGTGCTTTGGAGGAGGTGTCAACTCGAAACATCTTTTCATTTAAAATTAACAATTTAAAATTTTCTAAATATTTAATTTATGATTTTATTAATATTACCTATTTGGCAAATACAAATAATTACTTGCAGCAAAATTCCGGTCAACGGACGGGGTGGCGGTGAATACAGTACGTTCGTATCCCCTAAATCCATGCAGGAAGCCAACGCCTCTCATCCTCGCCACCTTCCGTTAACCTCCTCTTTTTCTGTCACTCTCCTTCTCTTTCTCTCTTCGCCTGCCTCTTGTCGCCTTCCTTCCTTCCTCCTCTCGGTCCAAACAATAGAATCGGCGAGATGAAGGATTGGAGGGGATGGGACGTCGAGGCAGGGGGTGCTGCCGCCGGCGGTGGGGCGTCGCTGTACCCCAACATGATGGAGAGCCCGCAGCTGCGGTGGGCGTTCATCCGCAAGGTCTACACCATCGTCGCCCTCCAGATCGTGATCACCATCGGCGTCGCGGCGGCCATCAACTTAATCGCTCCGGTCCGCGACTTCCTCCTCGACCGCTCGACCGCCTCGTTCGCGGCCGGCGTCGCCATCATGATCTTGCCGTTCTTGGGTACGTACGTCAAGTTTCAAGATCGATTGGATTCCTTCTCCTCCCCCATTCCGTGTTCGATGACGGCGCTTCTTCCTATTGCTCCTCTCTTGAAATGGAACAGTAATGCTTCCGATGATGTACTTCAGCGAGCGCCACCCCATCAACTTTGTCCTCCTCGTCCTCTTCACCGTCTGCATCGGCTTCGCTGTTGGATTGGCATGCACGACTCGAGGAGGTAATCAGCATCATCTTCTTCTATTGCCTACGTATACGTATACGAGAAGCCGTCATGCTCTTCTGATGTGAAATCATTGGTCTTCCCGCATGTTGGATTTTGGATATTGGCTATAATTTGGAAGACAAAATCTATGGTTTTCGATTATTCATTCAGTGCGAATGAAGCCATAAGAAAATATAATACAATTACAGAGAATTTATTGATCTACCTAAAGGTCCTAATAGCAACGACGTTGTTGTTCTTCATGCTGCTGTCCGCTTGATATGCTTGTAACTCATGCACAGGCACGGCTATACTGGAAGCTGCAACCCTAACAGCTGCGGTGGTTGGGGGTCTCACTCTCTACACATTCTGGGCGGCCAAGAGAGGCCACGACTTCAGCTTCCTCGGTCCGTTCTTGTTTGCGGCTCTCCTTGCACTGACCATCTTCTCGCTCATCCAGGTTAGGAGTAGCGCAGTTCTCCATGTCGCCGACTTATTCTCGTTTCTCTATGTATACGGCTTGAGCCTACCTGAGCAGGTGTTGTTTCCGATGGGAACGATCACGACGAGGGTGTTCGGGTGCATTTCGGCGGTGGTCTTCGCCGGCTTCATCATCTACGACACCGACAACCTGATCAAGCGACACAGCTACGACCAGTACGTGTGTGCCGCCATCTCGCTCTACCTAGACATCATCAATCTCTTCTTGGCGTTGCTCAGCACCATGGAAGACTGATGCGAGTTTGTATCGGCCCACCCACCATCGGCGGACTTCGATTTGTGTGTTGGAGACAATAAGGTTGAACCCACCCTCGGAATGAGATGCCACCAGACCAGGCCGAGGAGTCGGTCGCCTGTGGTTAATTGAGGTCTTCAACTGTGTGTCTTCCTTGTTCTTGGATGTTTGTCTACATAGATATCGATATATATTTGGAGTAAGGATTAGTCTTAACATTGCTAAGAAATACAACAAAATTTGGACTACACGATCGAAAACTATTCAACTATAGATTATGATAGCCCTAATTAGTATAACCTTATTCTTACATTCCTCCTGAGGTTCTTGATGTGACTACGAATCTTGCATGCAGTAGCAACACAGATTAAATGCACCAAACCATTATAGGCATCAATCAAAATGCATCATAAGTTACTGGTTAGGTTTCTCGACTACTTGTACAACCTGAGTGTGAAGTATTGGTGGTCTAAGAGGGATTTGAGCCTTTTTCCGCGTTCTTTAAATGTTTAGAGTATCGATCGGTTCGAAACTTCATCCAACAACTAATTTAGCCAACCAGTAAAGATTTTTTGTTATTGGCAACAAAATCTTAAAATCTTGTCTTCAACACTTATCCTTGAAATTGACACGAGAAGTTGAAGATCATAAATGACATACTCGTATAATCACCAGAAAGATCACATTGAAAACAACATGATCCTACTCGGAAATACTTGATCACAGCACAATCAAAAAAAGGCAGAGAGACAATGGAATTGAGAAATGAAGCCCATCTCTCAGAAATGATTCTCAACTCCACAAAAATAAGGTAATGTGTAACATTAAGAATCTCAAGTCATCTTGAACCAGTATCATAAGCAGTACAAGCAGCATTCTAGAGAAGCTACGACGAAGACCTCATCTAATCTGTTAATGTTTCCTGCTGGTGGTAAAAAGGAAGTTTGCCGGTTGTTTACGATGTCATATAATTCAACCTCACATGATTGGTGGAACGCAGTAGTATCTTTTAGTGCTCTTCTATCTTTTTCAAATCTTTCATGTTTGTTGTGTCCACCCTACAAGCACACAAAATAAAAGGCAATACAGATTAACAATCTAAAATGGTTGGCATAGATCCCTAGATATACATGACTTAAATATACACAAACAGTGTATGCATAGGCACATAGCTCACCTTTATATATGACAACAATGAGGATGGTTTTCTCTTCCCAGGATAACTAAGCAACAAAGTTACATGTACCATTCGATAAGTATTCCTTGTTTCTAAAGGACCACTCTTCGTCCTTGTAACCTGAGATCACTATGAATAAAACAGTTTTGACAGGGTGACCCATCTAATAGTTTGTATGACGTCACTAAGATAATGTCAACTACATTTGACACTTAGACCCTGTGAGTTAAACCCATTTGATGGGTGTTTCAGATGATACAATCCAATAAATATGACCAAGAATCTTTGGGTTAGTCTTAAGATGATGTTTGTGCAACTATCTAAGTCTTGAATGAAGAATGATGCAAGAAATTAGTGATTTAAAAAACGCTAGGTACCAAAAGACGTCAAGGTCCAAAAATGCCCAAGGCACTCGCCCGAGCGAAACAAGGCACTAAAATATAAAAATATATAATATAATTAATAAATATAATTATTTAAATAAAAAATATGATATTAAATTAAGAAAATCTTGCAAAATCACAATATTACATTAACAAAAAGTCTCAAAATTCAAAACAATAATAATAATTTCAAATAAATAAAAATTAATAGTACTAAAATCAAAACAATATATTATTAATCTAATAAATAAAAATACTATTATTAGTATATAGTTAGTAATATACTGTTAATATACTATTAACAATATATTATCAAAGTGAGAAGAGTGTGAGTAAGAGGAAGATCGAGGCTGCTGATTGAGAGCAACGATAGCAGAAGCGAGAGCGACAAGCGACGACAGTGGTAGTGGTAGCAGCGAGCAGCGAGCAGCGACAGCAGAAGCGGTGAGCGACGACAGTGGCAGCGACAACAGTAGCAGTGAGCAGCGGGAGCAGCAAGCAGGGTTAGGGTTGGGAAGTCGTGAGAGGAAGGCTAATATCGGTGCTTTATTTGGTTTGATTGAACCAACTAAAGCACCGAAGATCGAACTAAACCTAAAATGCAGGTTCGGTCGCCTAGTTTAACCCGGGCGCTCATCTAAAGCGCCCGGCACTTGGGCTCGGGCAAGCGTTCGGGCGGCACCTCTTTGAAGCGCGCCGCCTGGAAATGAAGCGAGACGCTCGGGCCTCACCTCGCCTCACCTCGGTCGAGCGCCTAGGCGAGCGCCCGAGCACCTATTGAAGTCACTGCAAAAAATCTTGAAACATGTAAACCAATTAGTAACAAAATTATATAATTTTAACCTATTACTGAAAAACTAGATGGATTAATTAGTGGTGTCTATTCTTGTCAGTGGAAGTTTGCAGACAAACTGGAATGGTTATTGATATCAATTTTAAGGGTGTGAATTTTTTGGAACACTAGAAGTATATATGATCTACTAACAAGATTTGCACCAACTTTATTTTATATTTTTATTTTTGCAAAGGCTAAGAGGTGCATACGGGATTAGGTCCTATGGAGCCTATGATGATTTGACAAAGTCTGGTAGCTAGCTAGCACCTTCATGGTTTTGCACCAAACTTGATAGAGCATATACATGTATACACATAAACCATGTACAACGCATGGGATGTTTATGTTTGGTATGGTTCCTTTTATCTATAATTAACAAAGTAACTAGGCCTCCTTGAGCTCTCCAGTTACCCCACGACATGGGTGCCCCATGGTTTTTGGGGTTTGTGACGCTTAGGCACTAGATCCTATTCTTTATTCGGCCTCTTAAGTGCTCTAGGAAACAATGGTGACCTTGAATAGTCAATATACACTCAGGTTTGCTGATTCAACCACAAAGCTCACTGAATATAGAATGAACACTCTGATAGCAAGAGATGAATTGAATCATATATACAACCTCTAAATGTAAGCCATGTGTTAGTGATGACTTGTTTAGTCATTCTTTCAATTTTGTTGTGGTATGACAGAGAATAACCCCATTTCGATAACACTGGGAATAGTTTGGATTTTAGTCTTTTAGATTGTTAAGAAAAATATTTACCGTGTGAAATTAAAAGATTAACTAAGGTACGTAACTACCTAACTACAACAGTTATGAATTCCTTATTGTTTATTGGTATGAGTCCTATTGCAGGTTCACAACATTATAAGTCAGATCATTTACTTATACAGGGCTACTCATAAAAAAGTAAGATGTTACCTTGACCGTCTGTTCCAGATGTGACCTGGCTGCCAAAATGTTGACCTAGACTTTTATGGAGGATGATGGACAGGGCACCATTAGTGGTCTAATGACCTTACATAAACCATGACTAGGTTTCCAACCAGTGTTAATGATGAGTGGTCAGAAGCAATATGTAAGTTATTTATTTTAGGCCAATATTTCTACAGTATTGAGTAATTAGACATCTAAAAGAAGACCAAAATTAAGCCATCACAGGAAAAAATATTGTGCAAATTATGTGTGTACTTACGTTGTTCCAAACAGAGCAATCTTCTGAACTTTTGTGACATCACCATCAGCTTGATTGTCCTCGATAAAAATCGTTAAGCTGGTAAAATATAACTTAAATGAGACAAGACAAGCATGTGCTTGTTTGTGCATCTACAGAAAATGTTATCAGCTAAAAAGATATGCAAATAGCCTCAAAATATGTTTACCTGCGAACATTTTGAAACTTGACATACTTCAACGTAACAGGCACCTCCTGGAAATGAAACAAAGCAATAGCATAAATTATTTACCAACAAAATCATATCAGATTTACACATAAGAATAAATAAGGTAGAGAAAAAAGGATTTCAAGGACAAAACAGATGAACTATACCTTAAGATTATCAGGTGATAGATTAAGGGAGTCACTAGGTGGATAGTCATTAACATTACTGCAATTTACCAAAGCATCAAACAAACAGTGTAACTTAGAAATAATGGAACTTGCAATGTTGATGGCATGGATATTTCTGAAGCTATATAGCATACCTGAAGCCCATGTGCTCTTTGTTTGCAAAGAGTTTTACTGTCTTGGGACCTGATAATACAAACTGGAGCTTCAGCAATTGACATTTTATTTTTTAATAATTAACGCAACAGAAGATACAAGAAGCACAGATTCAAGAAGGAATTGGCACTTATGTGAGCCCATCCATTTGAGATCCTTGAGGAACTGAAATTCACTCTCTCATGCCTCGTGTAATGTAGCACATGGATGTCACACAGGCATGGATGACATCTTTTACACATTTCTTTGAAATAAAATGAAGGAAGTACATTAATATGAAAACAGGAACATGTATAACTAGGAAACAATCATCATAATGTTTCCCTCTTGAGATGAACTTGTCCTAGAGAACATATGTAACATACCGGATCTTATACATCTCCTGAAAACTATGTCATTTAACTTACAGCTTAATTTGTAATGGAGTTCAATTAGCAGATGAAACACAAGTAGTAAGTGACACTCAGAACATATATTAGGATACCTCATGCTGGCTTAATTACAACTATCTCAAATTAAATTGAATGGTACGGGTCAGGCACAAAAATATTTCTGGGGCTCTCTTAGGGTGTAAACATCTACTAGTTTTGCACCCAAATCATATTCAGAAGAGTTCGGCTGCTCAGGGACCCTGAACAATGCAGCAGACCTTTGGGAATGTGGCAAAAAGCCCTCAACAAACCCAAGCTGAACAAGGCTCACATGGAACTTTTATGTTTGTTGCACTATATAAAATGGGACAAAGCAAGGTACCATTGGACTGATAAAATTTCAGATGAATATCTGAAGAGACAAAACGCTGAGAATGGATTAAAAGGCAGATCGATATGGTACCTGGTACCTACAGTGTATTGAGTGTTAAACCACTACACACACACACACACATGGAGGTGGAGAGGGACAAGGATATAATCGTGATTCTGTTACATAGGTCAGGGTGTATCCTAGGGTTGGCAAGTAGCAACATCAAGCAACTGAAGCCACATATATCAAAGTGCATCTTAACATCCAAAAGGAACAATTGTTCATCATCATAACAAATAAGATGAAAAAATAGTGCAACATATCAAAACATATAATCAAGGTAGTGCTATATTCTGATAGCAATTACCAAAGAAACAATTAATAAAAATTTATATTAGAATTTGGAAGAGGAAAAACGAAAAGTCTCCTTTTACTTATAAAATGACACACGTCATTGATTTAATCTAATATTGAATATTTTAAAATATATTAGCCGTCGTTTATTTATTTAACAATCGATAGTATTTTACAACCGCTCGAACCATTTTTTATGGCCGTTTTATTGTGTATCCCAAAAATAGATACAGAATAAGATGGTAGATATGTTGAAGCTCATAATTTTGGAAACGAGGAATGAAAAGTTTTGAACCATTTCTTAGTCCATTTTATATTGATTTTGTTTATGACTTTTGCTACTTGGAACTGAAAGATACTTCGTCAAATCTCTCCACGAACAGTTCAATCACCATCATTAATTACTAATTACTCTTCCTATCCATAAAATTATTGTATAGTTTCTACCCTATTGAGAAACAACAGACTAATTCTGCAAGACCAAAACAGACAAATCAAGACCACCTTCCTCCTCCGGGCCCGTGATTACAGCCGAGTGCAGCTTGATCACTTGGGTGAAAGGAACATAAATCAAAAGCTGCTCATCCGCATCGCTCTCCAGATGCAGACCATCATCATCCCTGTAACCCTAAGATGGACAGAGAAGCAAGACAATCAGAAAAGAAGATCCCATAGGAACCATAGAAACGGTATAGGACTCGAGTGGGAAGAGAGCTGCCACATATCGATGGATCACCTGCTTCAAGGCATTGGCGATCGGGTGGCTCGTTGTCTGGTTGAGGCACTCGACGCCGCTCCAATCCACGAAATCGACGAGATCCACCTTGAGACAAAGAAAGGAAGAGGAAGCAGAAGAAGACGGATTTAGGGTGGCGATCGGGAGAGGAAACTAGGGCTCTTGATCGGGAGAGTTACCTGGCCTCTTGGGATCACGGAGGAGACGACCGAAGCCATTGCCAAGAACGCAGAGGAAGGTACCTCTCGGAGGCGAGAAAAAGAGAGAGAGAGAGGGGGGTAGGTGATGCTCGAACGGCTTTAAAGGGTGTCGAAACTAGACAAATTAACGGGTCTAATACCCGAAACCCGATTAGCTACGAACCCTTTTTGAATTGTGGAAGGGGAATAACTCCCCGCCCTGTCTTAAATCCCATTCCTCTCTCTCTCTCTCTCTCTCTCATCCTATCGCCGAGTAAGGGGGAAGAATTCATGGGCTCTTCATAATTAAAATAATTAAATTATTATAAAAATAATTAATAATATTAAAATTTATAAATGATAATAATAAATATTGATAAAGTTTAAGCGTCGTAATAATTTTTAAATATAAATATAGTCAAGTATAAACATAATCAAATATATCCAAATATAATTATAACTAAATAAATATAAAATAAAAAAATAAAAATAATTTTCTCTATTATAAATATATTTAAATATATCTATCTAAATAAATTTATAAATTGATAATTTTCTTCATTAATCCTATCTTTTCAATTTCTATGCTCACAATTGATTAATAATATTATTAATAATTAATTCACAGTCCATTCAACCAAATATATTTCTATTTATATTTTTATTATTAAATATATAAATATAATATAACATAATATAATAATATAAACTAGACGGGGATGGATAGATCATGATTCCTCCGTCCCCATCATATACTCGTATGGATAATAAAAAATATCATTCATTTCCATCTTTGTCATTATTTGTCTTTATGCTTGTGGGTAATAAATTATAATTGACACCTCTAAATATTGGATGATACAAGTCCTACGTCTTGGATCTCAAATTGTGGGCAACAGAAGCTTTACGGGTTTCATGTGGATTCCACATATCGAGAGTAAGCATCAATTGCATCATCGCCACTTCCTTCTCCAATCACTTGCTTCCTCACCCGATCTTCCACCACCGTCTGCCGCTGCCGCTGCCGCCTCACTGATGTAGCAGAAGGGAAACACAAGAAGATGGATTGTAATGTGCCCCATTACGTAGCTTCACTGATGGCTAGGTTTCGCGCTTGTCTCTTCAAATTACTATTGATTTGATACAGTGGATGCACAGGTGGAATTGTCTGTCCACCTACAATGCCTGCAGGCGATGAAGTTTAAGCAAAACCCTCCTGTTGAGTTTTGAGCATCTTTTGGCTTGAATTTGGAGTTAACTGAGCTCCCTATTGTGTTGCTCATCTCAAGCATGGACAGAGGGGTTGCAAGCACTGGTTTGGTTAGCATGTATGGGATGTTGCTGCAACAGGAGTTCATCATTTCTGGCCATGCCAAGCATGTCCTGTAGCTGCTGTTGATGTATCTGCATGTGAGAATTTTTGAAGCAGCTCTTAGGCCAACGTACCTGAGCAAGCTTTTGTTCCTAAGATGTAAAGGATTTGAATTCCAAGTAGGTTTTTGAGTTACTTGATTCCTCTTCTAAGTATCTCCAATTACTTTTTACCTTGTGCTCTCTCTCTCTCTCTCTATAAGTGTTTATATGATGAAGTCTGGTAATTCCTGGAAAGATCTTTAGTTTTACCCCAATAGTTCATGAGATAAGCTTAGACTTTGTCATGCTGTGTTCTCTCTGATGGATTCATTAGTAATATGAAGGCATTGCAGCCTTTCTGGTTGTGTTTTATCTTGTGCCTCTAACTCAAAACAGATAAAAAAAATGAACCTTTAGTGTGATTTACTACATGATATAGAATGTTTCAGTGTGCCAAAATATTTTTATACTCATTAGGGGGTTTGAATGGGACCAGATTGGATTAGATCTTGAATTGACTGTAATTTTTGACAAGATTACTTGTATAGTAGAGAAATCTCTTGCATTAATCTACCCCAGTCAACCCCATATTTTATCATGGGTATCAAAGCAGATTGTGGATTCAACATTTCATTCATTGTTCAAGTCCTCTCTGTGCAAGAACCAATGTGTGATATATCCATCCTAAAGTGGTAACAAGTTGTAATCAAACTCAATATTCTATCAGAAGATGCTTCACAAGACAGCAGAGTAACAGGAGATGGAAATTTATAGTTGAGTTAAGCTTGAAACAATCTGGGGGCAGGTGAAGATGACCAAAGAAAACTAGTGATGACTTATCTCATGTTCAATGTACCAACCTTGGTAGTTTGGATCTTGGATCCCAACACACCACCAACTCATTCATTGGTCAAGATTCTCTCAATTCTTAAGTGTGGCACTTTGTTAATGTCTAAACTGATAGTTAAGCTATTGCCCTCCTGCAATCTCTTGCTTTGGCATTTTTAATTCTCAAAGAAAAAAAAAACTGGAGAACTAATTTTAATGTTTCTCAAATGTATATAAAACCAAGTCGTTTAGTAAGACTCTACAACAGTCTTTCTTCGCATCGGTAAGAAAGAAAATTATAATCTTAAACTTTATTATCTCCTTTCCTCTCCGAGGTAAAAAAATATATTCTAAAAAAAAAAAAGGACTCTCTCCTTTCTTAAACTACTCAAGCCCACATTTAGAGACATCAAATTATTAATTTAAGTATCGAAAAGATCGAGTTAGGAAACCTCTCCTAACCTTGATCATCGTGCAAGTGTTACATTGGGAGTGCAATACTGGGAGCATAATACTCCTAACTCGAGAGCTTGACACCTCGACCTTAGAGCCACAGCTATCTCGAAGCCACATTGGATTTACCTCGTATTCACCTTGAAGCCGCCTTAGATCCATCTCGGAGTCACCTCGAATCTACCTCAGAGCTGCCTCAAAGATACTTTGGATAATTCTACACACTTGGGTCTAGATCATGTTAGGTTGACTAAGACATCAATGACATTTTCTCCTAATAGTTTAGCATTAAAAGGAGGGCCCGATGTCAAAGAAATGTTCACCTACCAATACTCTCAACAAACGTTTTAGCAATGAGGCCTCGCCTCCAACCCACAACACATTTGCTCAAGGGGGGCAATTGCCATCCTTCCTATATGTGGATACACCTACCTTAGTATAAATATCGATGAGGTACTAGCATTTATTTAATGACTTAGGTCCCTCACCCCCAAGGACGAACTTGAGCTACTTGCTCATTCCTGTCGAGGTGTTCTTTAACCTCGCTTAGTAGGTACATACGCTAATAGACATAATGCAAGCTATTATTCCGCTATTGCCCCAACTAGCCCAATAAGAGACTCCAACAAGATCAAAATGGATAGTGAAGCGATACCATACCCCAGTTTGTGGATAAGTTATCTTTATTTGACTAGCAAGCCACCCCGATGGCTAGCCAAGGACATTGGCGATGACGGCTTGCTCAGCCACCATAGCTCCCAAGACTCCGAAGGTGACAGTAGTGGCAAGTCCATCACTCTCAGCCAGCTCTTCATCTCATAGCCCCCAAGCAAATGCCAACTAAGACTCTGGAGGTGATGGTGGTGGCAAGTCTATCACTCTCGACTAGCTCACAACCTCCAAGCTAATACCAACCAAGACTCCGGAGGCAACAATGATAGTAAGTCAATCACCCTCGGCCAACTCTTCATCCTATAACCCCCGAGCTAACACTAACTAAGACTTCGGAGGTGATGGCAGTGGCAAGTCCATCACCCTTGGCCAACTCTTCAAGCATGTCAGTGACGCTCATAGTGGTGACATCGTCAAGAGTGATGGCTATGCCTTTCCAAAGCACCACATCCTCGAGTTCGATGACTTTGCCCTTGGAGGTGACGCTGACGACCACTTGGCCTTTTGCCTCCTTCCCCTTCATTCTTATCTCTACACATATCTCGTACAATGAAGAAGCACCATAAGTTATCACTCTTATGCAAAAATAACCTCGTTATCGAACCCGCTATCGGTCTTGAGCCACCGGAGGCGATTTTTAGGATCGAGACACTGTTGAATTCTTTAGCAAGGTGGGGAAAGGGGAGATCTTCATGATGTTTAGGATAAATGGTTTTGGCAAGCCCACCCCAATCGATGCCCTCACGAACTGTATCATGCGGGAGAGCCTATAGGGTCCCATCGCCCTCAATGGTGAGAAGCTCGACGGGCAGTTCCTCCAGGTGATCTTCGTTTACATCATGTAGGACAACCTTCTATACCCTATGCTCACTATGGAAGAGACTTTGATATTTTCCATAGAATTTCAACTATCGCGGTCGCTATCTGTCTCAAAGAAGAAGAGCTAGGTACAAGCACTCATCAATCAACTTAACCTCTGATTTGCCACCAAGACTATCATTGGTGATAAGACCCATCATGACATCACTTGTGGAGAGCGCCATTATATGTCGATCAGAATCGATATCATCCATAGTGGGGGGAGGACCCAAAATCCACTATAGCGAAGAGAGAACTTAAAGCCTACCACGATTGGAGGACCTGAAAACTACTATGATAGAAAGAAGATTTGAAGCCCCCCATGGCAAGAAGACCCAAGATCTACTATGGCAAAGAAGGGACATGAATTTGTCATGGTAGAAGGAAGATTTGAAGCCCACCATTGCGGGAAGACCTGAGATCTTCTATGATAGAAAAGGTATATGAAATCCACTATGACGAAAGAAGATTTGAAGCCTACAATGGTGGGAAGACCTTATATCCGCTATAGTGAAGAAGGGATATGAAATCCGCTATGACGAAAAGAAGATTTGAAGCCCACCATAGTGGAAGTATATGAGATCAACTATGATGGAGAAAGGACATGAAATATGCTATGGCGGAAAGAAGATTTGAAGCTTGCCATAGTAGGAAGACTTGAGATCCGCTATGACAGTAAAGAGATATGAAATCTGCCACAGCAAAAAGAAGATTTGAAACCTATCATAGTAGGAAAATCTGAGATTCGCTACGACGGAGAACAAACTTGAAGAAAGAAGATTTGCAGCCCACCACAGCAAGAAGATTCGAGATCTACTACGACGGAGAAGGGACTTGAAATCCACTATGACAGAGAGAAGATTTGAAGCCCACCACGGTGAGAATATTAGAGATCCACTATGGTGAATGTGCAAGGCCAAATGTACCCAAGATGTATGAG